TGAATTATAAATTTACAAAATTTAGTACAATAGTCTGTTAAGTATGTGGAATATGGTGATAAAGAGGAGCCAGCTCTTAGGGTAGGAAAACAATTAAACCAGATTTTCAGTAGAAAGCAGAATTAAAGGCATTTTGTCAGAGAAATGCAAACAACATGTCTTGGGGTGGGGGTGAATAGGATTGTTAAGGTTTCAGTAAAAGGGAGCTTACATTGTGTCAAGCTGGGTGTCAGATGCTGGATGAGATGATGGAGGCCGGGTCTGTAAAGAGATGGAGATGCTGGCTCTGCTCCAGCTGCAGTCACTGGTCCTGGGTGCCTGGGGCGTAGAGAGCCTCTGGGATATGGGAAGGAGACCCGGGGGGCTGGCCCGTGGCCACATGGAGCCCTGTGCTTAAGATCTGGGGTTAAACCCAGAGACCATGGGAAGCAATTAGATATATTTGATGAAGGGTGTGACGTACCCTATGCTATACTTCAATATAGTTTTAGGAGGATCATTGCTGACATGCAGTGTAACAGCATAGATGATGATGAGCTATTCAAAGTGAATAGTAACTGGGGAGTTTTGCTATAGCCCAAGTGGAAGATTTTAAGATTCCAAGTTGGGATTATTGTTCAGAAAGACTGAGGAAAGGGTTGATGCATTAGAGGTGATGAGTGCGTAATTCCATTGAGTGGGGGATGATAGAGTCATAGTGGATTATTATTATTGTTTTCTAACTGGAGAATAATTGCTTTACAATGGTTTCTGCTGTCCAGTGTGAGTCAGCTCTATGTATACATATATCCCTCCCTCATGAGCCTCCCTCCCACCCCTCCAGGTCATCACAGAGCTCTGAGCTGAGCTTCCTCAGCTAGACAGCAGCTTCCCACTACCTCTCTGTTTTATACATGGCAGTGTATCTATGTCAGTTGTTCCTCTCTCCGTTCGTCCCATCTTCTCCTCATTGCTGCTGCTGCTGCTAAGTCACTTCAGTCGTGTCCGACTCTGTGACCCCACAGAGAGCAGCCCACCAGGCTCCGCCGTCCCTGGGATTCTCCAGGCAAGATTATTAAACAGATTATACTTCAGGCACCTGTGACGTGTGCTTTGCATCCTGGCCTGGGTAGATTATGATGGAATCCAACAGTTTCCTGTTTCTTACATTGTTACCAAACACAGAAGTGACACAGGGACACTGAATTTGCATGATACTTGGATCACCTCCCTGCTTATTTGTTCGCCTTATCATGAGCTGGACTCAGCTAAGAGATGTGTGCTCCTCACTGTGTGTGCTCATTTGCCAAAAAAAAGAAAAATGTAAATATTTACTTTTGGAGCCACAACAAATACTTTGAAAAAGGTTTAGAGACACAGACAGTAAAAATGAGTGTTTTCTGGTGATGAATCAAGATTTTGTTATTGTTTAGATGAATCAAAAGATGTTTATGGGGATATTGGCAAATGAAATAGGCAAAACATCATGAGTTCTACTCTGCTCCAAGTAGAGTAAAAATCTTTGCTTTTTATTGTGTTTTTCATTTATTGCTAATTTGTTCACTTACCATTTTGGGACCATAGAAATTTCTTCCTGGACAGAGGTTTTCACTGTGGAGAGTCCTCCTCTAGGCTGTAATAATCATTTACAGAGACCGCAGCCGTGTTTGTGTGTGTGTGGAGGGGGCGGGGGGACTGCATTGACACACGTCTTAACTCAGAGTGCCATTCCATAGGTTCTCAGCATTTTTCTTTGCTGAGCATGCTTCTTCAGCACAGTAGGGTAGTAGTTTTTCCTAACAGTATCAGTTTCACGTCACCTATTAAGGTTAGTGAGCGAAGCCTCACAGATTTAGTGTGTGAATCATTGCTAATTTCATCTCCATCTTAACATTTCCTAGTTGATTCTTTACTCTCAACTGCAGATGCTTCTGCTAACCCCACAAGGACACCAGGTTAGACTCACAGTGTTTTTATGCTGGTGAATTTTGGCAGTGGTTACGAGCCTAGCGATGGTCCCAGCTAGGAGGAAAATGTCAGTGATGTGGAGGGTGGTAGATTTCAGGGCTCCTGCAATAGATGTGTGTGTGCACGTGTGTGTGTGTGTGTGTGTGTGTGTGGGAGGGGTTGGTGATGGTGGTGGCAGTTAGAGGTGGAAGAGAAGAATGCTGATCCTTGAATGACTGGGAAAACAGGCAATATGAGCCGTTTTTTACCTTTCAGCTCTTTCGCTCTCAGTAATGGAGAACAACTAACGATATCATATAACGTCAAATATGGTGTCAGAGCTCAGGCCGAAGGTCAGTCAGGATTTCATGTGTTTACTTTATGGAGAGGAAGGCATCCTCCCTTACCTGAACACCCCGGGAACATCGGATCACCACACTGTGAAGGCAGCCATCAGTTGATGGGAATTAGTTAAATGAATCGCAAGGGCTGGTCCCGTGAATGGGAGCCCATACCTTTGATTAAAGATGCAGCCTGGGTGTTACTTATGTATTTCTATGGTCAGAAGCTCTTTCTAATATTTCACACTACCGCCAGCAATAGTGTAGAGATCCAGAGAGGAACAGATGAGCAAGGGGTGCTGAGAGAGGGGCTGTGAGAGGTGCGTGCAGCGGGGGACTCTGCTTCACGCTCCTGCTTGGTCACTTCGGTCATGTCTGACTCTTTGCGACTCCATGGCCTGTAGCCCGCCAGGCTCCTCTGTCCATGGCATTCTCCAGGCAAGAATACTCAAGTGGGCAGCCATTCGCTTCTCCAGGGGATCTTCCCGACCCAGGGATTGAACCTGCGTCTCCTGCCTTGACAGATGGATTCTTTACCACTGAGCCACCAGGCGAGCCCCGGCTTTATTCTCTCCTGTTATCTTCTTTTGTCTCTGGACTCAGTTCTTCCTGTTGTTGAGTGTGGTGGAGTCTCCTGCTGTTCTGTGATGTCAGAAAGGTCCCTTCTGGCACGTTGTGAAGTGTGTGGCTGTAAACCCCTGGAAGCACTGATCGTCTTTTTTAAAATCTGGGTGGGGGGCAGGCGATCAGGTGGGCTGCTTTATTCTGCCTCGAGTTCCCCTTTGTAGTGGCTTTTAATGTCCCCCCGTCACAGGACACAGCCCGTCTCCCAGAGGCAGGATCCCAGTGCAGGCGTGGAGGACGGGCTTTCCGCCAGCCTGATGTTTTCAGACTCCTGTGCGTGCTGCGTGCTGAGCCCCTTCAGTCATGTCCTACTCTTTGCAACCCCATGGACTGTAGCCCGCCAGGCTCCTCTGTCCATGGAATGCTCCAGACAAGAATACTGGAGTGGCTTACCATGCCCTCCTCCAGGGGATCTTCTGGACCTGGGATCGAACCCGCATCTCTCATGCCTCCTGCATTGGTAGCTTCTTTACCACTAGTGCCACCTGTAGGATGCAGCTGCAGTGTTGGCCACGTGACCTCAGGCCGTCTCTGCCTCAGTTTCCTCATCTGTTAAAAGGATAATGAAGGCATTCAGTGTGAGCATGGGATGGGTTACTCTGTAGAGAATATTAACAGTAGTTCCTGGAACATGGGGAGTGCTCAGTAAGTCAAACTTTAGGGATTTTTAGCTTGCCTCATACAAGCTATTGCATATGTACATAATAGACACCCTGAGAATGACTTAAGAAAATTAAATAATTCATTATATTTCAAGAACACATCTTCTCCATATGCTGGATAATCTTGCTACAGTGATTCACTCACTAATGCCTCCCTGAACAAAGCTAAATTAAAACTTGTGCCAGAAATTAATTTTTTTATATCATTTTGTCCTGGCTGAAAACTACAGAAACTAAAGGATGAATCAGGTACTTAAGTATTCTGAAACCAAGTATAAACACAGCTGTTACAGTGAAATGGAAGGATCACTTAGAGAAATTCATGGTACAAACGCAGTATCCTCAACAGCTAAAGATGGAAATGGACTGGGTACCCACTTACCTAAATAGTTTCCCATATTCTATATTTTTTTGCGCTTTGTCTTTTTCTTGTGATGGCAGGTGGATTCTTTACCACTGAGCCACCTGGGACGCCCCATGCACCTTGTCTTTTAAAGAGTGCCAGCATAGTTCCGCAGGGCAGCCTTGCTATTTGGTAAATTGGGTTTTCGCCTTTGTATTAATTGCAGGCCAGAATCACAGCGGCTCCTGAGGATGAAAGATTGTTGAAATTCCAGAGTGGGTGCTGCATTTCTCAGGTTATGAAGTTCAGGGAAAGATGTAATTATTTCCGAGTTTCCTCAGGTTCCTCTGTTCGACATAATGTTCTGACATATACAGAAGGGACAGCTCCAGATATGAAATGCAAATCCGGAGGGCCTGCCCCTGCAGCCGGAGCCGGGGTTAATCATGCAAATCTAATGCAGTGCTTGGTATTTCAAGAAAGGTTTTAGTTGAAGTCTCAAGCACATATTGATTTAAAATTCCTACTTCAGAGAGCAGTGTAAGTTTTTTTTTTTTCCAGCTTCAAATTTTAAAACATAAAACAGGATTTGGAGACCCATTTAGTGACTGGACAGCCATCCCATACTTAATAATCATGAGAAGTTGTGGGGGTGTGAGGGAAGGGTACCTGAAAAGGATGTGATGATTTCTAAGCATTTTATATAATATATTAGATCTAAACTTACTAATGTGCTCGAACAAGTCTCTTTGCTTGGAATATGATTGAATCGACCAGTTGTACATGTTTACTGAATAGCTGCTCTGGTCAGAGAAGATGGCTAAAACTGGCAAGGACAGACAGCGAGTTTCTAACTTTGGGAATAATATAAAATTCCTTTGGAAGTGAGGCTGGGTACCAGAAGAAATGCAATTGTCTTGCTCACAAGTGCAGGCTGACACATTCTAAATGGCCTTTTCCACTGTGCACAATACAGGTCCGCTTATCTTTCCAAGAACAGTAAAATCTCATGTGCTGCTGCCTGACATAAGAATTATTTTTACGTATCTCCATATCGCTGACTCTCTTGTAAGTTAATCTCATCTCACATGAATTTTTCACCAGCTTCACTCTGATGTTGATAAAGGAGATGGTTCCATCAAATACATCTTGTCAGGCGAAGGGGCAAGTTCCATTTTCATTATTGATGAGAACACTGGGGATATTCATGCTACCAAGAGACTGGATCGCGAGGAGCAAGCCTACTACACGCTTCGAGCCCAGGCGTTGGATCGGCTCACCAACAAGCCCGTGGAACCCGAGTCCGAGTTCGTCATCAAGATTCAGGACATCAACGACAACGAACCCAAGTTCCTGGACGGCCCGTATACGGCAGGCGTTCCCGAAATGTCACCTGTGGGTGAGTAAGCCCAAGTTGGTCTTGCACTATCTGATTTGGGGAGGTTTGTGTTTAAAATTAAATCATCATAGGTACCGGAAAAAGAATCACATTATTATTTGTATAGAAATTACTATTTTGAGTGAGGGAATGTTTGAGATGTGTTAGTAGCCAGTGTCTAAATTCTGCTTTTTGACACATAATTTTTTTGTACAGAAATTCAGAAATTCTTTTACACTGCTCAATGTCTTCAAGAAATTACCTAGGTCTTACAGTCCCTTTTCAATTTAATATTTAAAATTTAAAAATGAGGGAATCCCCTGGCAGACCAGTGGTTAGAATTCAGTGCTTTCACTGCCCAGACCCTGGGTTTGATCATTGGTAGGGGAATTAAGATCCCACAGGCTGTGTGGTACAGCTCACCAAACCCCCCCACCAAAAAAAAAATTTAGATTATGCTTAAGAGGTTTTTTTTTTTTTTTTAATTTATTTTTATTAGTTGGAGGCTAATTACCTTACATCATTGTAGTGGTTTTTGTCATACATTGAAATGAATTAGCCATGGATTTACATGTATTCCCCATCCCGGTCCCCCCTCCCACCTCCCTCTCCACCCAATCCCTCTGGGTCTTCCCAGTGCACCAGGCCCGAGCACTTGTCTCATGCACCCAACCTGGGCTGGTGATCTGTTTCACCCTAGATAATATTAAAAAAAAAAAAAATTCCAAATAAACTTAGTATCAAACCAAAAAAAAAAAAAAATTCCAGACACATCCTTGTGATGATTTGGTTATCTTTCTCCCTATGTTAGGGTAATAATTCTCTATTCTAAGCATATCTCTAGGGCCAGGTTATCAGGTAGACTATCAGTGGAGCCAGGCTAACATTTGGTCTATTTCTTGTAGAGTGTGCTTCAGCCCATAAATGTCCATCCACCTGCCACCACTAATCTTTTTGTAATTTCTCCAGGAATTCAGATGCATGAGAGTTTATACTCAAATGTATACTGTTTATAATGGTGGTAAAGTGATACTCAGTGTGAGATATATGAAAGAATAATGAAGGCCATTTTACCGAAAGGGCTTCTGATCATTGCTCCATGACTGGAAAAATAGAAAGTAGATTACCTTTAGTATATACTGTATTTCAAATACTATTAAATTCTCTTTTAAATTCCAGTTGTTTAGGTACCTTCGGAATAGTTTTCAGCCAGTATGTAACTTAGATATGGATGATCTTAACAAGATAATAATAAAAACAAAAATTATGAGTCTGGAACAGAGACCAGTTGATTTATATATTTTATTTCCTATTGTTTATGGTATTGAAGGAGGAAGTTTATTTAAAATAATAATGGAGCTTGTATTTTTACACCTATTTCAACTCAGGTCTTTAACTTGAAAGTTTTGTGTATATGTGCTCAGTCATGTCTGACTCTTGAGACCCCAGGGATTGTAGCCCAGGTTCTTCTTCTGTCATGGGATTTCTCAGTCAAGAATACTGGCGTGGGTTGCCATTTCCTACTCGAAGGTATCTTCCTGATCCAGGGATTGAACCTGTGTCTCTTGTTTCTCTTGCATTGGCTGGCAGATTCTTAACCACTGCGTCACCTGGGAAACCCTGATAATTTTACCAATGTGATATAATACTTGACTGACTGTGATTTGTTTTATTTTATTGATTGATTGTTATTTGTTTTACTTGGAATAAAGGTCATTGCATTCATTCCAGCTTTTCATCTGTATATCCGCTATGCAGGGAACTGGAATTGCAAAGATGTGTATTACATGGTGCCCTTTAGGGAAATCACAATTTAGTGACCCTGAATTTCTGTTCCTATCAGATGGGAGAGGGAACATTACTTTGGGACTGTGACTCTGGCTGCTAAAGAAATATAAACTGAAAATGAACCAAGGGTGCTTGTGGTCAGGAAAAGTTCTGAACCACAGTGGCAGCAGCTGCCTATAATTAACTTCTGTGTAAACATTCTTTGACCAAACAAGCTTATTCACACCCTCTCAATACCACCCACACCTTCAGAATGCTTCCTGCTGCTCTCACTTAATGACAGAAACAACAACAGCTATGATGACAGCAACAATAGCAAGATTTGGGAGGTTTTAGAGAAAAAAGCAGGCGCATTGTCCTCCCCAAACGTAGTAGTAATGTTTAGAGAAACAAGTTTTGAGGTGTGTGTAAGCAATTCAGTTCAATGCTACAATTCTCCTGGGCATTTTTGGTGAGCTTTATAAGGCTTTCCTTTCCTAAGTAGAAGATAGCAGTGCAAATTGGTTTAATGGGAGCTTTTTGTTCTAGCGGTTGAATAATGCACTGTAGTTTTAGTTCCACTGGTACCACTCTGATATCAAACAATATGACTGTTATACACATGTGTAAGTTATTTTAGCTATTTGATCAATTCCAGCAGGCTCAGGACTTTTTAGAAAATGATTTTCAAATGTCTTCAGAATTTATTTGACACTGAGAGAGTTCACTGGATTAAATATCCAAACTTGAGCTAAGCACAGTAAATGCTTATAGAAAACATATCATGATTCTGTTTATCAAAGTGTTTACTTGTAACCAAATAGTTATAGTAGCCACTAAATAGTGTGGTATATGCAACACAAGTCTTCTTTGTTTATTATTCAGGGCTGTTTTTTTTTTGTTCATTGTATACTAACAAATAATAAGATTTGAGACCCTCATAGTCCACTAGGATTGCTTATTTGTTGCCAGAAAAGCATAGATAAGCACAAGAACGGGTGTGTGTGTGTCTGTGTGACTGGGTATGTGTGTAGTAAATTATTTAATGAGCACTTCAGAAAAATAATACATACATCAAAATTTACTGAGGTATAGGTTTCATTATTTTGTTGCAAGTTGTTTTCCAGTGAAGTAGGAAGTGGGTACTTAAACATATCACCAGAATAAATATTGCTGTAAAGATGCTGAATTATAGAGGAAATTGAGAATATCAGTCATTAATCCTAACATTTTAAGATAGTCAAAATCTAGTTGTTAAAAAGATTTTTAAATATACATCATTCACCATGTGGTCCTGCCAAGCAGCCACATGGCACAATCTCCTAAGTCTACCAAATAAAAAAGATAAAACTTCAGAATTTAAAAAATGTCACTCACAATTTTTACCCAATTTGGAAGGAAATGGAATCAGTTAGGGAAATCATAATGTGAAAAAAAGAATAGATTTGTAGTAAGATCAGCATTTAATGACTTATTTAAGGAATTTCAAAAGGAAGATCTACATAGGAATAGATCTAAAACAGATGTTAGATGAAAAATGCTGTGTTTTCAAGAATTTGTTAGAAAGCAACTTGAGCCTTGAAAGAATACATAAAAAAAGGGAGTTGTCCCATGCCCATCAACTAGGACATAAATTTAAAATAAATGTTAAAATGTTAAATAAAATGTTTACATATTTAAGCTAAGCAGATGTGGGTAGCTAATATTTTAGGATGAGATTCCAAGTGGAAATAAAAAACAACAGATCACACTAAATGCTTTCTATCTGGAATAAGTGAATGCATAGTAAAAGGAAGAAGCAATACGACATTCCATCATACAAAACGTAGAAAAGCAACCAATGCTGTGATTTTTCAAGTTATCATGCTTTTTCTCCTTTGGGAGGGTTTGGTTTCAGTGTTCATTTCATGCTTTTGTTACAAGTCAATTAGTGAAAACAAATGAAAAAAACTACTGAGAGTAGCCACCTAACACCAGTTAAATGTACCAACCAAATATTCTTTATGAACTCACTCCGTTACTGAGGTTTCCATTTCTGTCGCTGTAGCAGTTGGGTTGCCCCATGATTTGAGGGTCAAGGTGCTAGAATCTGTCATGCTGCTTTTTAAGAGTGTGATTGAGACTTAAAGATTGCTCTTGATAAAAACTTGCTACTAGGCATTGATGGATGAGATGCCTAAGAGTCGAGTCCCACCCAATTCTGAGATTACATCCCTGTCTAACTTGGCATTGTCAGTCCTATTTTTTTTAACCACCATCTTTTCGTATCCCTTAAGTATTTCTGAGGAATTATCATTTATCATCTTTTGGAGTTTGTCTTAGACAGAAAAATGTATCCATTTTTCACATACCTGAGAAAAAGAAAAATGAACACTGGAAAGCATCTTTATATCTTTACGCTAATGTAGCATCTTTAGCGTTTGGTTATTTTTCTTGTTTTATTGCATTTGTGTTTTTAATTCATTGATTTTTGGATTGTCACATAGGGACCTCAGTGGTACAGGTGACAGCGACGGATGCTGACGATCCTACATATGGCAACAGTGCTCGAGTGGTCTACAGCATCCTGCAGGGTCAGCCATACTTCTCAGTGGAGCCCAAAACAGGTAAAAATTGACACGCGACTCTCCTTGTAAAGTCATTATTTCTTTCTTGGCATAGAATTAATAATAGTTATTTTGGTTCAATGTAGTTGAAACTGATGACACTCTATTTTTATTGTGCATTTTTCAAAATGTGTACCATGGTAATAAACAGCATGTTATTTATAGAGCCATCAACACCTTTTAAAAATATTTTACTACATTATCAAAATTTCTATCAAAATTAAGCAAAATATTAGATATTGAAAAGTTTTTCAGCTGCTGTCTCTTGACTTGATAAGAAAACGTTGAATATTTACCTCTGCAATGTTTCAATTTGCTTTCTTTAATTAACTCACATAGGAATTACACACAGTAGAATTTTAAATCTTCAGCAAAATCTCCCTGCCATGCAGTAGAATATGTAGTGTTAGAGCTTCTCCTTCCAGAGGCTGGCTTTCTCAGGGAAATTAGTTGAAACATAACAATTAGGATGATGATCTGCTAAATCAAAAGCTAAATTAAATGACTTTTTTTCATTTTAGAAGGAAAAAAAATATGGGTTGCAAAACTGCCTGGATAGAAAATGTGGTTGTTTGGCTAGATGTTCTGTTTCGTTTTGAAAATGAAATGGTTTACATTCAGTAAGGCTATAATTTGGAGCACTGTTTTCTTTGTTATAAAATAATATTTTATCTATTACGCTTCTCTGGCTATTGGTACAGGGCAGCATGGGTGGGTGTGAGCCCTTGCTTTTGTTCACCACTGAAAAAATCCAAAATTTCTCTGTATTTTAGTAATTTTGTCTTTATCATGGAGAAGAATGCCTCCTCAAATATCCAAGTTTATGATCTTGAATCACTGATGATACTTATGATCCTAAAATATTCATATTTTAATGCCACTCACCACCCTGTTTTCCATATTATAAAAAATGGCAGTATTCATTCATTCTCAAATCACTGTGTGGGGAGTGCATATTTTAAATATGTTTTGAGAATGATAGCTGTAATGTACAAAAACAGACAAATTCAAGGCCAGTTCATCATTCATTAGAATGTTCACAGAGGCCGCATTGCGTGTTTTATACCAGTGTTGTGATGAAGTTTGGAAGCTGCCTGAAGAGTCTGACAGAGGAGTAATACTTCTGATTGAGCAAGTATTGAAGGGGAAGTAAATGAAAGTCTCTGCTTTATGATCTGAATCCTGTGAATGTAAAGTTGTGCTCGTGGCTGATTTAATGATAGATCTGAGAACCTCAATTCAGACACCCACCTGTTCCCTTATATATCTACGCTGCAGCCTGAAAAGACATTGACAAGTCTCTCTGACAATTTGCTCACAAATTATACACCTCTCGCGTTATATAACTGGTCCAAAACTAGCATGTACTAATCCCAAGGGCTAAATATTTTGCTGCTACTAGTGACTGGCTTGCAATTTTAGCTTTGTGTAAGATAACAGGTGTCCCATAGGCCCTGTGTAGGTAAAACCTCCCCTGTGGGCAACTGGACAGTAGTCTGTATCCTGACATCACGTGATTAGAACTTCAAACTCTATTTTAACTTTCAGTCTCAAGGATCATGTATTAGAGGAGATGAGCTTTTTGTTTTGTTTTGTTTTGTTTTGTTAGAGTTTTTAAAGCTCTAGTCATGGTAATCATTGGGACTTCTGTTTCTCTAGTCACCAGTGCAGAGATATTAGAGGACTATAGAGAATGCATTTTTTTTCCAAAAAATTCTGTTTTTCTGACAAAAAATGAATGGAAATTTTTCATGACTTACATATACAAAGAGCCACATAGAGTTTGAGGTAGTCTGCCTGAGTTGATGTATGATCCTTATCTTTGTGAGAAATAGCATTCTTTTCCACATCTTTAGATATCAGCGTTTTTGAGAAGCATGTAAAACTTTTGACATGAAAAATGCTGAAAATATGCCAGATCAATATTATGTAAAATAGGCCTAGGAAATCACTATTAACTGTATCTCTGAAAGTTTAACTTATTTATTTTTTAAAAAAGGAATATTAGTAATATTAATAATATCCATTACTTTTTATTAATCACATATCATTAACTTAGCCTGAGTAAAATTTCTGAGCATGTATTTCTTCTGTAGCTCTACTTACAGGCCAGATGACCAGAGGGTAAGTGTGTTTTCTACCTTAATTTCTCTGTCCACAAAACAAGAATGTGAGTAGCTGCAAAAAACAATGTTGACAGTTCAACAAGCAAAGAGAACGGACCTTGGAACAAGATGATGTAGCCTTAAAACGACCATTCAGCTTCCCATCACCTGTCTTCATAATGGCCCCCAATTTACTGGGAGATTAAGGATTATTCTAGTATGTTTATCTACTCTAAAACCTGCAAGCAAATAGGTCACATTTTTCAATGTGACAGGATTGGCTACACGATGTGCTATTTGAAACGAAACTGCAGGCTTCCTGTTCTAACATTAGTAAGATTTCCAATGCCATCAGCAGAGCAGAATCCAAACATAGGGCCAGTGGGACTGCACAGAACACCAAAGCTATAGGCCTTGGAAAACGGGTGGAGAGTTAAATATCAGATATCATTTAGGATTTCTTTGTTAAACTTGGAGGTGTGACCACATGGCACCTGCACCATGCATTGCCTGCGTCCTTGTTCTGTCCTAGTTTTAGGTAAGTACTACAGTCATAACAGTGTGCTTCCCTGATAGCTCAGTTGGTAGGGAATCCGCCTGCGATGCAGGAGACCCCAGTTCGATTCCTGGGTCAGGAAGATCCCCTGGAGAAGGGACAGGCTACCCACTCCACTATTCTTGGGCTTCCTTGTGGCTCAGCTGGTAAAGAATCCGCCTGCAATGTGGGAGACCTGGGTTCGATCACTGGGTTGGGAAGATCCCCTGGAGAAGGGAAAGGCTACCCACTCCAGTATTCTGACCTGGAGAATTCCATGGACTGTATAGTCCGTGCGGTTGCAAAAAGAGTCGGACATGACTGAGTGACTTGCACTTTCACAGTTGTAACTCAGCACTCCTTCCACCCCTCGTGGGTGTTCTGTCCTGTGTCGTGGCTCACGGTGTGGAGGAGGCTCCCCGCTGTCAGGGCTTTCTGAGGATGTCCGCTCACAGCTTACGGCAGTCCCTTCCTCAGTCCTTTCTGCTTCATGTGATGCCAGCTCTGAAATCCTTTGATGTTCCAGAACCTTCCATCTTCACTACTGTTGGCTCTTCTCCATCTTTTTATGGTTCTATTAAATGCTTCCATGAGTTTGACAAGCTCCAGGAGTTGGTGATGGACATGGAAGCCTGGTGTGCCACAGTCCATGGGGTTCCAAAGAGGCGGACATAGCTAAATAACAGAACCGATAGGCTTCACTTACAGGGAGAGAAACCAAATAATACAAGTCTTAAACAGAAAATCTAGAAAAAGAAAACCCCACAAATTTATTAGGCAGAGATTTACGTGAACATCTAATGTATTGAAGCCACACAACATGAAAAGCCCAGCCCCGTGTTACCAGGCTTATGTGGTTGCCTAGATTCCTGAGACTAACCCAGAGTTTGACTGAGTAGGCTGCATGCATCTGTAATTGTTTGGTTCCCTAAACTGGGGCAGACTTCAGAAATGGCTCTTGTCTATTACATGTAGTACACATACAAATTCTTAAGAAAATTCCATGACAATATGCTTGAAAGAAAATTGGTGGCTGGTAGGACATCAGAAAATCATCTGAAATTTTATTCCCAGACTAAAAACTCACCAGTTGTTGAAAAATGGCAGTGATAAATTTGCTTCACACATAATACATTTTGTGAATATCAGTTATAAATATAAAAGTAAATGAGAAATTATTATTCAGAAAGCCAAAATCTGGGCCAGTCTCTTTTTCTAAAGAGATGCAGGGTATATTCTTTTCATCATAAGTGGCTTAAAATTATTGATTATTAAAACAATGCTATTATCTCCCATGAAAGCCTCATAGAACTGTAAGGCTATGACTAGATAAGACTGGCTTTTACCACTTTAGGGACACAGTATAAACAATTTTCTCTGTGAGTGTGTGTGTCTATATAATATTCACCAAAATGCAGATCCTATCCAGTTTATGAGAATTATTTTCCAAATAAAGACAGCTTAGACTCAAAAGTAAAAAGCTCGCAAAAGCCATAGAACTAGAAATCTATTATGTTTGAATATTCTTATTTAAATTCAATTCTCACCTAGTTATTTCTCTCTTGTAAAAAAAAAATGTTTAATAATTGAGGTATTTGGAAATTACCTTTGCCCCCTGCATTTCTTTGCAAACTCAGTGATGATTTTTGCTTTGGAAAAGTGTTATTTATAGGATCACTTGTAAAGAGACAATTAGAAGTGTGAAAAATAAGTGAGTAACTTTGACTACCAGACTTCTCCCTTGATAACTCTATGTTTTCTTTCAAATAATACCACTGAGCAAAACCATGAGAAGATAAGGTAGCTGTGTTTTCTTTGCTGGCTAATTGAGATGCTATGGACCTTTCACCATTATAATAACTGTTCAGGATGCAAACTCATTTAAACATATTGAGAAATTAAAAATGAAAACTGGGTAGGAAATTGTTTTAGAATTTCATTAATATTTTATCATCTGTATGAAACACTATTAATTATGTGTTTAATGTGAAACTTGCTCTTAACATCTTATGAAAGGTGCATTATCAAATATTCAAGATTGTCAATGCTTAATTTATTTTAAAAATATTATAAATAAATACAGTTATGATAGGAAGAAAGAAGAAGAGAAAGAAAAAAGGTAAGAAAAGGAAGAAAAGTAAGGAAGACATAGAGAGGTAGAGATGTGTAAGTCCCAGGACTCTTAGAGATTGTTAAGCTTGGTAACAGTGAGTCTTATTGAGGCCAATACTCAATGTCTTAAATATTAGAGTTAAGGGAAGTATTGAAGAACAGACATGAAATATTCATAGAATCATTGTGGCTCTAAGAAGAATATCTACATCTCAGACAGTTTTCAGTGAACCAAATGAGTATATGACTCTGCTTTTTTTGGTGATGATTGTGATATTTTAGAGATTCTCTGTAAGCAGTGTGTACATAACCAAAAGAGTTCAGTGAAGGAGCTAAAGTGACCTTGTATTGCTGTGGTTATAGCAGCAGCATCCAGTGTAGTGTATTAGAACAAGTGATTGTTAAAACAGCAGTGACAATACATCGCCTGTGTGCTAAGTAGCTTCAGTCATGTCCAACTCTTTGCGACGCCCTGTACCATAGCCCACCAGGCTCCTCTGTCCATGGGACTTCTCCAGGCAGGAATACTGGAGTGGGTTGCCGTTCCCTACTCCAGGGGATATTCCTAACTCAGGGATTGGACCCACATCTCTTATGTCTCCTGAATTGGCAGGTGGCAATAGATGGCCTACTCAAATGTAATTTAAATGCTTAAAATATTGATGTGTTGTAGGTGTATGTGTGTGTTTGTATTTGATAGGTACGGCTCAGAACTAAACAAAAATGTGGCTTCTTAAGATAGTATGAGTGTTATTTAACTAGGAATATTAACACACTGGAACCAATAACATATTGTTTAAATTATTCTTGAATTATTAAAAGATATTTTCATCTCTTTCCCACTGCTAGAGTAGTTACCAAGCTGTAGGATATTGTGATGAATAGGGCAGACCAAGTATAGTATAATACAGGCTTGTAACTTAGGGCTGAAATATACACAGACCATTATTATATGTGTCCGTTGAAGAGTCAGCATTTAATTAATTTAAATTGGCAACTTTTAAAAACGTTTTATAAATTTGGAAGGTATAAAGACTTTTATGCTGAACATGAGCAACATTTTTAAATGGCAGCTTTTAAAAACATTTTATAAATTTGGAGGGTATAAAAACATTTTTATGCCAAACATGCAGAAAAAAGAATGTTTATTCCAATTTGTTTACAGTCATTTTCTTCCTAAAGAACCATCGTCTATCAGACAGCCCAGTTTTGCTCCTGAGAAGTCCATGATGCCAGAGTTCCTGTCCCTCAGGTCTGAGTCATGGGAGATTTAAATTCTGACTTAAATTCTAAAAGTTAGAATCTTTTAACAAAGTAGATTGATGCACAAAAGAGTTCCAGTTGTGTAGGTAAGACATTATCAGAAATGATTACAAGAAATGATTAAGTAGGATTCTAGCCTCCTTATCTAATTAGCAAAGATGACCTGCTGTTTCTAGTTTCAAGATCTGTATAGAGCAATATCGAATAGATGCGTTTTCATTTGTCATGATCTCTGTGTGCGTATACTGAGTCCTCTCTGCGACCCCAGGGACTGTAGCCCACCAGGCTCCTCTGTCCAAGGAATTCTCCAGGCAGGAATACTAGAGTGGGTTGCCATGCCCTTCTCCAGGGGATCTTCCAGACCCAAGGATTGAACCTAAATCTCCCTCATTGCGGACAGATTCTTTACCATCTGAGCCGCCAGGGAAGCCCAAGTATATTATAAAGTTTATGTATTATTTTATATACATGTGTGCCTGCTCAGTTGCTAGGTAGTGTCTGACTCTTGGCGACCTTCTGAAATGTAGCCCGCCTGGCTCCACTGTTGGTGGAATTTTCCAGGCAAGAATACTGGAGTGGGTGTCCATTTCCTTCTCCAGGAGATCTTCCTGACCCAGGGATTGAACCCATGTCTACTGCATTGGCAGGTGGATTCTTTACCAGTGGGTGACCATAACCAAAGTAAATTTTATCTCATAATTATTCTATTGTCTCATATATTTATATAATAATTGGTTATTAATATAAAACCACTAATTTACTGCAGCAGTGATTGTTGTTCAAGCTTTCTTATCAAACAGCATGGAGTTCTGAAGTCAGTTTATTATAGCTCTGAAGTCTTCAAGGCTCTCCTTATTAAATGCAATTTATTAGAAAGAAACAGCAAAGCACATTGATGTTTTTAGTATCTTGATTTTTCATGAACACAGTCACTCTCATCCTTAATACTTTTTCTCAGGTTTTTATAATAACAGATGCAGCCTAAAGTTATCCAGCAACATAGTTTGGAATGGTGTTTTGCTTGTTAAACATAAATGACACATTCTATCATTTAGAGAATATGTAGTTACTTTGCTGGGAGAGTAGTAGGGACAATAGCTGAAAGGGTTTATGGTGATTTCACGTCACTGGGAATTAAGATGTTGGGGAGGGTGAGAGAGAAAAAGATTGATAGTCATATATTTTACAGGCAACTGCCCAGTCTTCTAGAGTAGATTTTATTTAAGCTGGTATTTTTGAGTTGTATTTCCATAAAACCTAGAGATAACGCTCTCCACCCTGGTCTTCTACATTACAGTCATTTCTGCGTTTTGTAATGTTTATATAGTTGTTATATCTCTTTGGACTTTAATATGTTTTAAAGTTATTAGAAGTAAGCAAAACAGCAGAAGGCAACGACTTGAGCTGTTTCTACCTATATCAGTGTTCTTCGTTAGTATAAATGCAGCGATTCATGATGCGTTTTACTGGGATTTGAAATTTTTCAGGAGTCATCAAGACCGCCCTTCCAAACATGGATAGAGAGGCTAAAGACCAGTATTTGCTTGTTATTCAGGCAAAGGATATGGTTGGTCAAAACGGAGGGCTTTCTGGAACCACGTCGGTCACCGTGACCCTCACTGATGTCAACGACAACCCTCCTCGCTTTCCTCGAAGTAAGCTGTTCTGAGGCATGTGGCAAGCATGCTCGCTTTCCTTTCCAGATTATAGGAATGTCTTTAAAGAGGAATTTTCCTAAATAAGTCTCAAATAGTTAATCTCAATTACATTCTCCTCCAATTTTATTTTATCAGGGACTTGATTTTTAATTCAGTAATATGAAATAATAAAGGTATTGAAGCAAATAAGAGCAATTATACCTTGTATTCTGTCTTAAATGTAATTTTTTTTTCTTTTGGTTCACTTTGAATACTAGACAGTTATTAAGTTTGTTTATGTATTACTCTTTTTTAGTCAAAGACATGCTGCTCTTTACGTTCTGTAAGCTCTGAGGTTGTTCCCAATTATTAATAGTAACATTCAAATACACTTCATGAATTCTATACACTAGAAGTACTGCTTTATTTTGTAAAGGTTAAAAAAGAGTGCTGAACTTTATTTCTCATTCCGCACTTTTGTTTTAACCAGTTCATGAACCTTGAACATTGCTTTTGCTATCTACCACATCTTTTTTAATGCAAACACTCAGCATTTCTAAAGAAACCAGTCCAAAGAACCAGAAAACCACATTCCCTCAGTTTAGTTTCTTTGAGCAACGTGGCATTTTCTTTAACCAAGTAAAAGGAAAAAAAAAAAATTTTTCTTAGATAGAGGTGTCCTAATTGTAAAAAAAAAAAAAAGCATTTCATCTTATTCTCTCAGTTGTCCTTTTTTCCTTTTTTGTAAGTATATGTGGTATTCTTTTGAAAACTCAAGAAAGTGAGAAGAATTGTGTAGACTACAGTATCCTTAAATGCTTTTCTGAGAGGCTTATGTCTAACAAGGACACTTTCTCGGGAGATATGATTGTCACCATGTTTTCCTTCAAAGACTGCTTCTTTAGATGTTTTATTCTTATTTTACATATTTTTGATATTTATATTATTGTAAAACAGACATTTTGATACCTCCTGGCAAAACAAAGTTATCCTAAGTTTAGCATAAAACAAACCCCAAAGAATCTAGCCTTAATTGTGTTCTTAATTGCTTACAACGGGGAAGAGAGGAAGACAAGAATAAATAAAACAATGTGATTATATTTGGCTTGCAATAGAATTAGCTGTTTCTTTTCTTTAACTAGAGAAATAAGAATTGACACAGATTTTTTGGGATTTCAGTTGTCATGGTTTGATAAGACAGAGCATGAGTTTTCTAGCTTATTAAACACTCTCTTACTAAAGTGAAGAAAGCCAAAAATATATCATTAACTTTTTCATTTTGACTGGGATTTTCTTTGTCTACCGTTTAGTTACTATTGTAAGCTTGAAATTTTTGGATTTTCCTAAGAAACTTACAAATATGTGACAGGGGTCACTAAAGAATGATGTTGTGATCATTTTTTAAAAATCAATTAACAGAATGTATAGAATTGCTAACACCAAGGGTTCTTAGTCTAGCATGTAGTACCTTCATTTGGGTACAATCTGCTTTCTCTGTTTCTCTCAAAGAGTTTCCTTTCTTTTTTCTTCATAAGAAAGTGCAAATGCATCCCAGTTAGCAGCCAAAAGGAAACGGAAAAGGGTGAGGAAGCAGGAGAAAGTAGGTGATCAGAGGGAAATGTTGAAGGGGCATTTTCTGCTTTCAAAGGGTTCTTCATCGGCCTCCCAAGCTGGTTTTCTTTCTTTCTTTTTTTTTGAGTTGAGGGATGGTGAAGAGTTTTTACAAAAGAAAGTTTGAAAAAGTTACTCTTCCTTTTTTGCTTCTCTTTCTTCCTGTTCAAATAACATAGTCTCTGCTCTTGTACTGTTGTGCCCCAACTGAGTTTAATGTACAAGTCATAATTATTGCCTTTTATCAACTTCCTTGTCCAGTTTTCTGCAACTTTTTCAGTAAAAGATACTATTGTGGAAATTCCAGCATTAAGTAATGAGAACTAGTTAGGCTCATTTTTTGCCCATTTGAAGTCTAAGCTATACTATTTTAATTTTAAAATATTTATATACATTAATTGCATATTAATTATCTATAGTCAAGTCTCAATGTTAATTCTGTTTACAATTTAAATTTTATTTTTATCGTTAAAAGTAAGTATATTTCTCACCACTAGAAATACTGGTATGGAATACTTCTTATGCTTTTCCCCAGGCTGTCTTTGACATATTGATTATTATGTAATCATTTCCTTGGAGTTTTTAAAGCTGTATGAAACTTGCCATTTGTCTCATATTGCCTTGTCATCTTATTTTGTAAAGACATAAAAGCAAATTAAGCAAAGAGGGTTCAAGATAGCCAGATAATTAAATTTTATTGGTTAGTTTGGTATAAGATTTTGTTCATTTCTTGTTCTTCATTTCACAGGGTCGTACCAATATAACGTCCCAGAATCCTTGCCAGTGGCTTCCGTTGTGGCCAGAATTAAAGCTGCTGATGCAGATATAGGAGCTAATGCTGAAATGGATTACAAAATTGTGGATGGTGATGGATTAGGGATTTTCAAGATTGCCGTTGACAAAGATACACAGGAAGGAATCATTACTATACAGAAGGTAATATTTTCTTTGTTTTTATTTCTTGTGAGGATGATATCATAGAGGATTACTGAAAAGCCATGTCTGCTTTGATGGAATAATGTAGTAGACACATTGAATGGGAGTATAGAACCATTGTTATTTTATGTTTAGGGGTTAAAAGCTACTCATTTAGTTACAAGTGTCAGCATTGTAGAGAAAAAATTGGGTAACATTTGTAATTAAAGTCTATCAGTTCTATTCTCTGAGTAAACCCACAGCCCTTATCCATAGCTCTGGAACAGTAGGGCTTAACTGGCAAATATGCTATTTAAAGTGATCTACTTGAAGACATGAATATTCTTCTTTGTTGACTAATAATGAAACCCTAAAATCAGGAAAAAGGGCTTCCTAGGTGGTTCAGTGGTACAGAATATGCCAGGCAATGTAGGAGACACAAGAGATAAAGGTTTGATCCCCGATACCCTGGAGGTGGAAATGGCAACCCACTCCAGTATTCTTGCCTAGAAAATCCCATGGACAGAGGAGCCTGGCGGGCTAGAGTCCATGGGGTCACAAGAGTCAGACACGACTTAGGAACTAAACCACCAGCTGTATTATCAGCTATTCTTTTTTAATATTTATACTAATTAAAGTATTTGAAAAATTTATAGAGAGCATGGAGAATTCATGAAACCTATCATAAAAAATAAGTGCAAAGGAGATTTTAAAAAATCATTATAATCCAAAATAAAGACTATTTGCAAATTAGCTTCCAACTCTGATTAGATTTGGGGTAAAATAAGCTCCCTCTTTTCTGTATAGACATGATCTTTGACAAATGTTTGAAAAAATAAGTCAAAAGAAATTGTTTCAGAATATAGTAATATTTTCTCAAATGTGTGAAACACTAAAAAGTAAAGCATATGTGAAAATGCCTACACTCAAGACTATGGGATTCTATGCTAGTGTGACAATCCAGGTGTATAATTGTGTAATCAACATCCCTCAATAATTAACACACATCAACAAAGACAGTTATGTTTTAGTTGTTACAGGAAAACATATGTTTGATTTCAGGCCAATGGGCAAAACATTTCTGCAATTATTTCCAGTGGACAGCTGCTGTTTTAGCTCAGCTGGTGACAATCTGTGTAAAAAAGTTTTAATAACTAGGATAGGCCAACTGTTGGTAAATGTTTTATTTGTTGTCTAAAATGAAAGGAATGCACTAGGATGCAGTGCTGTTCAAAGATTTCAAAGACTCATCTGATACCAATCTGCTCATATTCAAGAAATTTTAAATATATATCATAATTATTTTATTGAATACATACATATATTTCATATATCATATTAAGATAGCATAAATCATTGAAGAAATAAACACAAATACATGTATTTGATATGAGATATTTCAGTAATAGAAAAATTTTATACTCAATTTCTTAATATTATATCTAGAAGTTTCAGAGAATTGTTTTTTTTAAAAAAAAAACCTATAAGAAAACTGTACAAAAATGCATTTAATCTCACAGCATAATATTCATGAAAAAATAAGGTAAGACTGATAACTTACAATGATATAAAAGTAACGGATAGTTAATACTACTGTTCTAGATAGTGGTTAATATCTGCTAGGATTTATTTTGGGTAATTTAAAGGCTTCATCTTAACTTGCCTTCTCAACATCTCATGAAGGTATTTAGTACAATGAACATATGAAATCATTATAAAATGTGGAAAAAAAGAATGAACAGATAATGTTTGGTATTTCCAAATTATAGAATCTTGTGCATCATCAAAATGATGTGATATTTTCTTACTGTATTAGCTAATACAAGAAATGATTATGTAAAATATTACATAAAAAGCAGTGTCCAAAATTTTTACAGACCCTTTGTTTCAAATTTTTTTTCATTTTTATATAATACAGGATTGCAGGAAAACATTAAAATGTTAACTGTAACTGTTTCTGGATCTTCACTGTTTTTCAGTATATAATATGCATTAGTTATAATTACAATGTTATTAGGCTTATAAGAATATTAAGTAGCCAAATCAGAATATGTTTAATTGACAGCACTTTGTGGTCTATTTTGAGTATTGATGAAAATTCTTTTCTAAATGCAGACATATATCACAAAGATGTCAGACAGTGGGCTAAAATGTAGTATATTGTTGAGCTGTCTAAGGTATTAAAAAAGATATTGTCCTCTGCCTAATGAATTAAGACTCAAAAACATTCCAAATTCTATAAGCATTTAGAGTAATGGATTTTTTATTTTTGATACAGAAGATTTCCTACCCATGCACAGTCAACTGAGTAATGTTTTATACCTAATAAATGCCCAATAATTGATAAAGATTTATCAATTCATCATATGAGAAGTTAGCTAAATGCTTTAATAATTTCTTATGCTAAATATGGAATCAAAATTGTGTTATTTTTAGTTTAAATTATTGACAACTAAAAATGAGTTTTATTTACTCCAATGGCTTCTAATATATGAATATTGTCTAATTTTTATTAGACAATTTTTGTTAGTCTAATTTTTTTTTAATGTTTCTTCTCCTTTCTTTTCTGATATAATGTCAGTGATTGTCTTTGGATAATTAAGCACATTCAGTGTACAGGATAATCTTGAGAAATAATGATGGTAGAACATTTTGCAGCTTTACCATTGTGGCATAGATAACCAATAAAATATTTAATATTTAATAAAGAGAATCTTGTTAATTTTGAACTCCATAAAGTGTAGAACCAGGTCAATCGTCTAGATATCAAGGGTCACGAATTCATATTTAGGTTAAATTCAGAGCTTCTTAAAAAAATCCCTTGAGAACTCAGGTGTTGAATGCTAACATGATGTTATGTGTCATATCGGGTCTAGTAAAACAGTGTATAGAAACATTAATGTAGACTACAAAATGAGTAATGGTGTATTACTCGAGATGGTTAGTTAAGCTTGCTCTGCTTTACTAATGTGAAAGATTGATCCGATGTTGTTTCATCCTCATGTAGAAGATGTATTTTCCACATCTTATTGGGGTAAAACCATTATGTTCAGAAAGCAAAATAGTCTTCAGTAACAGATAATATGAGACTAAACTGTATAGTTTTGTGACATTTTAATGACTATTAACTCGTTATAAGAGAATGTATGTGTATTGAGACAGGGTATCCGAAGCCTTGTATATGAAAAAACTAAAATTTAAATAGATAGACCTAGAGTGTTTATAATATGCAGGTAATATCTACATAGAAATAATTGGCAATAATCATCTCTTAGTTTTCTTCATGCTAAAGATCTTTAGTGTTAGCCAATGTTGCTTAATAGGGCTTTGCTTGTGACTCAACCTGCCAATGCAGGAGACACCAGTTTGATCCTTGGGTAAGAAAGATCCCTAGAGAAGGAAATGGAAACTCACTGTACTATTCTTGCCTGGGAAATCCCATGGACAGAGGAGCCTGGCAGTCTTCAGTTCAGTCACTCAGTTGTGTCCAACTCTTTGTGACCCCATGGACTCCAGCACGTCAGGCCTCCCTGTCCATCACCAACTCTCAGAGTTTACCTAAATTCATGTCCATTGAGTTAGTCATGCCATCAAACCATCTCATCCTTTGTCGCCCCCTTCTCTAGCCTTCAATCTTTCCCAGCATCAGGGTCTTTTCAAATGAGTCAGCTCTTTGCATCAGGTGGCCAAAGTATTGGAGTTTCCGCTTCAACATCAGTCCTTCCAATGAACATTCAGGACTGATCTCCTTTAGGATGGGCTGGTTGGATCTCCTTGCAGTCCAAGGGACTCTCAAAAGTCTTCTCCAACACCACAGTTCAAAAGCATCAATTCTTCAGCGCTCAGCTTTCTTTACAGTCCAACTCTCACATCCATACATGACTACTGGAAAACCATAGCCTTGACTAGACAGACCTTTGTTGGCAAAGTTATGTCTCTGCTTTTTAATAAGCTGTCTAGCTTGGTCATAACTTTTCTTCCAAGGAGTAAGAGTCTTTTTATTTCATGGCTGCAGTCACCATCTGCAGTGATTTTGGAACCCCCAAAAATAAAGTCTGGGGTTGTAAAAGAGTCCAACAAGACTTAGTGACTAAATAGCAACAGCGTTGCTTCACATTTTCCTCCTACCCTCTTTCTCCACACAGTTCTGCATAAATAATAGATAATCAGGGTAATTACCTGGTATACATCAAACTAATTTTTGTTTCCAAAGCTCCCTCCACCCACAAATTCCTTTTTAAAAATTATAATTTTCACTGTCTGCTAATGCATTCTAATGCCTAACCAACCCAACACAGAGTTCTCACCAATACTGAAATAAACAAATGTAAAACATGGCTCCTCTAAAAGTTAATTATAAACAGTGGAAATTGTATATTTACTTTGCACGTCAAGCTTAGTGATCAGCAAACTTGTTTCACTTGACAAAATTGCTTATGGTATTATATATTAATCTAGTTTTTAGAGGAAAAACTATGAAGTCATAATTCTTTTTTCACTTTGAGCAGTTATTTATTCAAAAATGCAATTCACTTTTTCTGTGCAGTGACTACACCTAGCACTGTAGCTTAGAATTAGTTTTGCATTAATCCAGGCCTTCTCCTTTCTCAAAACCTCAAGTAAACCTCATATTCTGACTGCTTTCTTGGACATCAGAGAGCTATTTTTTGGACCCACTAGAATTATTCAGACTTGTGTTTGCTAGATGCATGTCCCACTACTCCTAGTTTTATGCAGTGGTCTGGAGTAGACACTAAGCCATTTAATTCCTAGAAGCAACATCAATTTTCTTCTGGGTCTTTGAATATTTCCTTCTGCTGTTGAACTCTCCTGGGCTCAGCCACCCCTGCTCACTTATTCTTCCTCATCTTTCAAGACTGGAAATCGCTCCCATTCTTCCTTCTTTAAACCAAATAGGTAAACAGAGGTTGTAAAATTGTCTGTACAACAATTTGTCTTTCTAGTTCAAGGAAGGGTGTATGTGCACATATGCTTTTCACTATTGGGCAGTGGTCTAGTAA